ACTCTTTCGAAGCATCTTTTTCACTGTATGAACTCAATGCTAGCTCATTCTCTCTCTCTGGCACCCCACTCCACCCACGCCCCTTCCCTCGCAAGCGAGTGCGTGTGACAAACGTTGTGATGAAAAGTTATCCGGAAGTTATGCATCTTTTTATGTGAGCCTGTATGAGCTTTGTCTAAAAATTAAAGGAGATAATGCTGGCAGCAAAGTGATAGTGCTCTTTGGTTGTCTACCGAGTTTTTGACCAGCTCGGGTTATATTTGTTTGCATGCTATGCTTATATTCTTGACGAGAAATTGTTTGAACATTTACAAATTGTTTTGGACATTTAAACATATATCAATAACGCCATGAGGTAGGAAGTAGGAGGGACGATCCATTTACGGTGGTTTTGAAAGTTGGACTTGAAGCAATGTCTTCGAATTGAAGGGAATTTTTAGTTGGCACGTTTTTTAATGTATGCTTTTATTTATCATTTTATTTAACATCGAGATTGTACCGACATCTACAGGGGACAAACAGCCTTTACCATGGGAAATGCGAGTGAGAGTTGCATACTACATCGCTCAAGCACTTGACCATTGCAACATTGAAAACCGGAAAATATATCACGACCTGAATGCTTATAGGGTTCTGTTTGACGAGGTATGAAATATTCCAGTGTTTTTATTACCTCAGATCTTATTTTCCTTTTTTTTATTGCGCATCATTGTGGTTATAAGGAAATATTTTTTCCTCTTCTAAATGCAATCCATTCCATTTCAGTTTCCCTTCAAAACTTCCTATCCATTTTCTCTAAGTCATGAGGATGAAATTTTCTGGTAGATGTCTTAAATATTTTACACATTTGCTATTTGTAGTTTATTTGTTCATATCAGGCTTTTTTTTGTCTATCAAGCTAGAAAATTTTATCTAATTATGTGTGGTTTAGGACATTTGTGCTGTTGCTCTTCCTTTTTTATGCACGTTTTTATGATTTTTAATTTAAAGAATGCTTTGACGAATCAGTTTATTGCTTCAGAGGTTCAATAATCTTTTAAGTTTCTTTTCTTGTTTCATGATTTGATTTTTATTTTGATTATTGCATGCGGGAAGCTTCCTTCTATCAATTTTGTGTCTTGAGCGGGGCAAACCAAAATCTTTGTTGGATCAATGTGCCCTTGGGTTTGTAGATAACTGGATTTTGTGGTTGTGAAATTTCGCCACATCATCTTTGAAAGCCATGTTGAATAATATGCTCGTTTTCACTTATTTATTTTGATATTTTAATTAATAAGTTGTAAAGAATGCCAATGCCATTGCCAAAAGTTGTGAAAAATCATTATGCTCTTGTGTAATGGAGAATTAGATTCTCACTTGTGCGACCTATGATTTTTTTTTGGGGCAGGGAAATTTCTCCTTTCTCTATTATCTGCAACTTATCATTTAACTTTGAACTACATTTATTATCTTATGAGGTTGAATATAAAAAATGTTATTGTTTATCTATTTTTTTTGACATATATCAACTTGCTATGTTTTTCTATTAGCCTGATAATGTTATCCATCAATCTTCAAAACACCAACCATATGGGTGAGAAAAAAATTTTAAAACTAGGACATTTCAATTTAGGTTTGTGCATGTGATTATTTGAATCAACATTCTGTTTTTGATGATTTGTTTCTATAGAGTGTATTCTTTGTGGACTTGCTCCACTTTTCAAACTTTAGTTTAGGAATTAATAATTGTTTGAGCAAGCTTGCCATGGTGGAATGTTATATTTGCGCTCCATAATCAATTGGGTTGCTTTTCACACAACAAAGTGAGTTCTAAGCCTAGGGTAGTGGTTGTTTGATAGGAGAGTCTTGTTATGCTTATGCCAATGACACTTGTTTTTTAGTTGAGCTTCTATAGGGAAAAGAGTGTTAAGTTTGGAGTTTGCTATTTAATGAGGGTCAAAAGGAAAAAGAATAGAATCTATATTGTTTGCCATCCTTTTATGGGAAGTGGCTTAGTGTATTTTGGTGTTTTTGTAGATTAAGCTATATATAGCATCTTTGAAAGTCACAATAGAAATATGCATTATAGAAGTGGCTAAAGGTAAGGTGTCTTTTTTGGTTTAAGGTGTACATGTGTAAGGTGTTGAAAATACCTATATTGTTAAATGGAGTAGAAATTCATTTAAAGGCATAGAAATAGAACTAAAGAATCATATTTTGCATGTACAGGTGTTGAACATTCCTGTATTGTTCAATTACATTGGATAAATGTGGTAGATCAGGAATAGAGCATCAGTTGAAGTCATATAAATAGAACTAAGGAGTCATAATTTGGCCAAAACAATTAAGATTTCCATTTTTTCTAACATTTTTCTTCCACTAAAGAAGTAAAAAAGAAGCCCAAAATTACCCCTTTAATAAGTCCTCCCATGAATCCATCAAAATTGACGAGCTTCGCTTGATTTTGCCTTTCTTGTATTTCAATTTATTGATCACAGTGCATAGGAACCATGAAGAACGGTGTGCACCATATTTGTGAGACAAATCACGATTCAAATAAACTCAAACGCAACATTTTGCTAGTCCTGAACAAAACAAGACGATGTTAGAAAAAAAAAAAAACATGAAAACAGAAACAAAAACACCAATGGATGAAAACAATGTTTAAGAATTGATCGTTGTATATTCATAAGGAGTTTTACATATATCACATAAATTACAGCTCCCGGAAGACTTTAAACATCGTGACATATTAATCATTTAACTTGAAAGCTAATCTCACCCTCCTTTTCTGTCCTAGTGTGTAAACCTCAGAGAACAAACCAAGGAGCTAGATTCTCAATTATGCCATTCATAAATGATTGTCTATTGATGTAGGGAGTATTTTTTAATAGCCTAGTCGTGAACTTACATATTATCCCTTGGGTTGCCCTCCTTAAAATTTATCTTTCTTAATGTGTTAAGTGAAATTTCATATTTGTCTTAATAGTTAGGCTATTTGGTAATTTTGCTTATCCTTATTAAATCATTTTGTCCAATATTGAGAAAAATAAAAACACTGAGAAACAAGGGGCTCATTTACTTTTTTAATGAATGTTCACCCACCCTTAAGAAAGTGGCTTACATCTATTCAACATGTGATAAATTGGAAAGCCATAAATCATAGAATTTATTTTATTCGAAAAGAACAAATGATCAACTATTGTTTCTGCAATATCGATAAAATGCAAGTACCTATCCCTAGTTGCTCCACTTGTGTGATACACACTTTTTCATATCCATCATTTAAAATTGAAGAGCAAGTACGACAAATATTAAATAAATTACAATGATAAATTATAACACATAATAGTGTGTAAATCATAGTTTTAAGTTTTACTGAAGGCAAGAAATTGAGAAATGCGTGGCTATTATAATAGACAAATCGATATAAATTCATTCATCATTTCATTTTATATAAAGATGACTATGTAAAGAGGTTTGAAAAAATTATTTTTTCTTTACAATGATAACATGAATAAGAAAGAACCATATCATAATTTCTTATCTTATTTGTGCTTTTTGTTATATAACATAACTATTACAGTTGTATCATTCTATTGTAATATTTAAAATAGATTAATATCATTATCCTTTTCAAACATGTGAATAAATAATCAGTTTGTGTGAGTACAAATATCCTCAGCAATTATCATAAAAGATTAACTTCATTAATTAACATACTTGTGTCATTATTTCTACGTATTTCATTTTATTAGCATTTTTCTCATATCATTTAATATCTTTCTATAATTAACTTGGTGTAGTACGATATACATAATTGATGATATGATACTTGACATTTATTTTAATACGAGATATAATATTAATAACAGAGATAAATCATAAAGAAACTTGCAATATTGATTAATTGAAAAGTACTAATATTATTTGAGGCATATGATATGGAAGAAACATTATCATCTTTATAATTTAAAATATAAGTGCCAACTTAATCTTTTGAAGATCAACACTTCAGCTTTAATACTATTTCATTGTTGAATTATGCATAGCTAACTCCAACCAGCTTGCAATTTATACATCCTGTATTTAGAAATATATAAAATTCATATCAATTTATTTATTTATATTCTTCATAAATGTAAAAAATTCCTTCATTTTAAATTCATCTTATTATCAACATAATTTTATGCAATAGTTTTGTATTTTTCTTTAATTTTCTAAAGGAAATTCAAACTAAGGAATATCTATGGCCGAAATATCATTCTTATCTTTTTATGTAGATTGAAATATCATTTTAATCCTCGCTCAACATACTTCTTTTTTGACACTAAGATTCTTAACAAAATTGTCTACAAATTAATAACTATATTTTGGGTCGATCAATTGGAGCAAATGAAATGTTGGTTATGTTTACCTTATCTTAGTCAAGTCTAGAGGAACTAAAATTGAACTTCGAACTTAAATCAAATTCATGTTGGTCTACATCCATTTTTGAGGCTTCTTGCAAGACTGCAAGATCCTTATGCAATGGCTTGCCCTTTCTTTCAACATGTCTCCATCTTTCTTTCTATTTGTCTCACCCACTTTTGTATCCTTTGATATTTTTGTGTGTCTCACTTCCTCTATTGCTCTTTCTCTCTTGTTTTCTTGTCTCATTACCTTGCAACCACTTGCTTGCTTTGTTGTTTGTTCTTCTCATGTTTGTCTGTCTTTGTATCCTTCTTAAATGAGCAGATAAATAATCGATCTATTTGAACCAATATTATTTTTTGTTCCTTGTTTATTTAACTCAGAGTGGCCAAGTTATTTAATTTTATTTTATAACTAGCCTTTTGAAATATCTTCATTTCCTAAATCACCAGACTGAGTGAAAAGAGCGAGAAAAGGAAAAACATACAAACAAATAAATGGAACATTTAGAAGTTTTATAGGGCGGTCTTCATGAGAGAGATAAAAAACAGTTGTCTATAAAGAAATCAGATCAAATCGGCCCGAAATTTATTCATGAAAAAGAGCTATATAAATTTGTCACATATATGACCAGAAAATCAAAATTTAATATTTTTAATTCACAGTTAAGAGCAATATCTAAAGCAATGTTTGGTTAATTATATTTTGAGAAATACTGAGGAGAACCCTTTTTTAAAAGAATTTTTTTTATATTTGCCGTTTTGTAAAAAAAGAGTATCAATAAATGAGGGATGTCATTTTAGTAGGAGAATCTCAATACATCAAATCAGATCGGGTCATTGGGCAGATCGTGAATTAGTGTATCCTCACGAGCGGTGGACTATCAATAGGCAAACAACTTCGAAATAACATCAACTCCTCAACTTTTTTTTTACTAATGCGACGATAAAAACGAAACGTTTTATTATTATTAACGATTTCAAGATCATTAAGGTCGATCATATTTTTAGAAACTTGTTTAAAAATTTAATTAAAATAACTCACCTACTTATGTTGAATATATTTTTCTAAGAAAAACGCTTTTTGATTTTCATCTTTAATACACTTTACTTGAGTTAAATCTATACTTTTCTTATTTCTTTGTTTGGCTAATTTATACATATAATTTTTTTCCTTCTTAGTATCTAATCTATTTTAAAGTTCACTAAAAGCAGAATTTTAAACGTCACAGATTGTTCTTTTAAACTCCCTGC